GACTGCACCCTGCCTCCTGCGCCATCAGACCACCGAGGCGGTGAGAGACACGGCCTCCTCCGTCGTCGCCCTCTGCCAAGTTAGTCCAGTTGTTCCTCTGCATCAAGTATTGTTTACAGTGGAGTTCATTCGATTAAAAGCACAGTCCGCGCACCTTTCACTTAACTCTCCCTCAGTCCGGTATCAGACAGGGATTAGTGTTGCCTTGACGCTAATCTGTAGAGCTTAAACCCTAACTGAGGAAATCCAAAATTAATCCATAAGGCTTTCTGGAGAATAATGCCAATTAAAAGACATTAAATGCGCAAATAGTTTCAAATCTGAAAACAAAATACTCTAAATTAATTATTATAGCGCTATTATTCCTGGAATAAAGGTGTTTGTGGGGAGTGGGGGGTGTCTATGGGGCGCTGTTTGTTAAGTGAAACATGCTGAAATTAAGGGCAACATTTTTCCATATTTAGCTCAAAACCTTACAAAAACATATTTTTTTCGAGTCATTTTTTTACAACATTCAGTAAAATATTTGCAACTTTTCATATTTAAAACACAATTTTAAATGTAAAATCTAAATGTTAAATCTAAATATTAAATGTTAAATGTTAAAAACATGTTTTTGTAAGTTTTTGAGCTAAATGTGGAAAAATGTTGCCGTTAATTTCAGCATGTTTCACTTTACAAACAGCGACCCACAGGGGTCTGCAGGTTTTACAGGGTTCACTCTTTTCTTAGAGCAGCGTGCTCTGTCTGGTATTCAGTCTTCTTCCACTGCTATTGACCTCTGAGGATCAATGATGCTATTTGCCCGGCTAACAACAGGTGAACCACACTGCTGGTGCCAGAACAACAACTTACATTTATTTATCCTTAGGCATCCTTATTGCCTCCTCCTTCGAGGAGGTCGTGGGTTTCTTTTTGTTGTTGTTGTTGTTGAGTTTAGTTTTTTGGTAGTTTGCTGCATCATCTGTCTGTAAACACAATAGCTCGAGAAGTTTTGAATGAACTCTGAAGTGGGGTCATGTTAATACTTCGTTACAGTTTGGCTTACATCCACCAAGGTCTTCAAGGTCAACTTACTGATTGGTCAAAAATTGGCAAAAAGCTTTATAACTCAGAAGCTAAGATTCTTACAGGTGTGTATTGTCATCATATTGTGGCTTACCAAAAGTACCTTTTTACAGTATACAAATTTGACCTCTAACCTCTCCTTTGGTATCAAAAGACTGATTTAAAGGTCAAAGAATTAATAATAATATTTTTTTAAACAAACTATAAACTATGCTTATTACTGCCACTGATTGTATTGAAAACTGAGTAAAAGGAATAATATAGTCTCACGTTACTGATGTTACTAAATCTCATGTTACTTTGGACCTCAAAGAAGAGGTCAAACTTTCATAAAATGTTTTCTATCTTTATCA